AGCAGAGAAGGGAAGAAATGGGGATGGAGGGAAGGCACTTCACACGGAGACCCAGGAAGAAAGACTCAACGCAGCTCTGGAGGGAATCCAGCAGCGAGAGCCCGGCAGGACCCTCGATTAAGTCTAAGAAGACAAGCTCTATTATCAGTTCCTTAAAGTCCAGGTGAACCATAAGGTCCAAAAGGGGTTTTGTGGGGCTGGCCACAGCAACTGATAGGAAGAGGAAGGCTGGCTCATTCTGAAGTTAATTGCTTACTCTGGGATGGGGCAGACATCTCTAGATGCTTATACAGCTATGGAGGAGAAGAGGGGCTCTTTCTGAGAGGTGGCTTGGGGCATTAGTACACTCTCTCATTAGCAGAGCAGAAGGGTTGCCTCCTATTTAAGTTGTGCAGAAAGATTAATGTGGGAACGGGTGGCTGTTTTTAATGAACCATCAGGGATGGAGCTCCAGAAATGCTGTTTTATCCAGCATTGTTTTACATGTAGATATATGTCTACATACACATATGTATATTCATAGCAAGTCTCACCCAGGGGCATGTATGCCATTTACAGGGCAGGTCTACTGATGGTTGTCGTTGTGGCTTGTGACTCTGGACTGGGGGCGTGTCAGAGCCTTTGGTATTACGCTTATCTTTGCTATGGCAACTGCATTTTGCAGGTTAGTCCTTACAAGATGTTAGTAGTGTTCAGCACCACCCACCTCCCTCCCATATCTCTCCAGGCGGCTCAGTGAAGATGCCCGCATTACCTATAGGTTGCAGGTAAATGTGCTTTCGGTAGAAGTTCTGCTTCCTCCTCAGCATGGCGTGGTAGAATGTCTCAAAGTCCTCGGGAGCATCGGGGTGGCTGAGGAGCCAGTCGAAAGCTGTCCGGATAAGCAGCGTGCAGAAGAAAGTTCTCTGTGGGTTGTAGGCTTCAGAGAGGAACAGCTTCTCCGCCCTGGAGAAAGCTTTGGCGTAGAGCTCCTGCAGGGCTGGGTTGGTGGAGATCAGTGCATCCTTCAGAGCCCGGGGCCCGAAGCTGAATTCCTGAGCGTGTTTGCACTGCAGCATCGCGGAGAGACCCACCGGCTGTGGCACTGCCTGCAGGAGGGGACAGAACCATCAGCACGTGGCCTCACGAGGGACCCGGAAACCTTCTCGTGCTTTGCTCTCAGAGCAGTTTGCCCCAGGATGCCAGCTGTAAGGTTTGACTGGGAGCTCATAAATGCCATGCTTAGTGCTGGCCAAGAGCCCTATGCATTTACGTGAGGGTAGCTGTTACAGGGTGCTCTACATCTGCATGTGTCACTGGTTTATGGACAGTGTGCCAGTAGGTGGTGCTTAAGAACGCATAGCCCCGTTATTGCTACCAGATGTCTGGATTAAATCAGATAGTTTGATTTTTCTTTTCTTTTTTTTTTTTTTTTCTTGTTGCTCTATCCTGAAGTCCTAATAACATGGGAAACATCTCTGTGCATCGTGCAGCTGGCTGCCCTGGCCCTCACGGGACGCTGAAAGGTGATGCTCCTTTTTGCTTGGGCTAAAACACACTCCTTGGAGCTCTCAAAGGCATAGGTCCATGGCAGGATAGAAGAGGTAGATCTTGGTCTTTATCTATCTATCATCAGAAGCCTAAACTTCTGACTTACCTGACACCAAAGAAAGGAGCTGTTCACTGGTGACAATTTCTTCTACCAGCTTTTAATCCGCACTCTTAGGTATTGACCTGGGGCCTCTGCCGGCTCACAGTGCTGTTGTCAGGCTGCAAGATTTTGCCCTCGGTGTGCGAGACTTGTGCTTGCTGGTGCTGCCTCCCTAGTAGGACATGTACGGGCCCACTGCCATTGCGTCACTTCATGAATAATTTCATGTCACACCGCGTTAGCATCAAGAATGCTGGTGGTGATGTAAAGTGGTGAATTGCAAATGAAAGCCTGTAGCAGAAAGAAATTAATTCAGAGCATCACAGAAATATCCTCTCCAGGGTCCTTTCTAAAGCCAGCATTTTCCAAAGCTGTAGAAGTCAAGCACCTATTTCCCATTGCTATTTATGTACTTACAGAGATTCCAGTAGACTTCGTGGGGAAAGGGAAGAAAGAGGAAACAAAGTACAACCCCTATGGCTAACCTCCATCTGGATTTTGCCAAAGACATTAATTTTTTTGTAAGGAGATCACACCAAGTGGAACTAGAATATTTTGGAGAGGCAAAGCTGCCTACCACAGGTTAAGTGCTCCATCTGTATACAGCAGAATGAAAATACACAGGTGTATACGCACAAAAGCACAGAGTTTCCAGGAATTATTATCTTCCATTAGGCAAGTTAATACTATCCTGGGTGGATAAGCAAATGTATCAGCTGCTGACCGTCAGTCACCATTATAACAGCATCATTCAATCACAGAGAAAAAAAAAGAGGTGATATATTTTTAGGAGGAACTGGTTAAGTCTATGATTTAAGCGGGTCTGCATCCTAGCTCTGTCAGGTAAGCGACATTCAGTGGCCCTTGAGAACAGCAATATGACAAGGAAATTCAATGTTTAAAAAATGGTACCCACACAAGCCCAAGTCTTTCCTCAGTTGTGCAGAGAAGGCTCTGGTAGTTTGCACTGTAAGAGAAGCTGGCAGCTCATTAAAATGAACGCTGAATTTCCTTACATCCAACCCTTGGGAAGATGTGTGTGTGTATAAGCAGGCCTTAAAAAGGACTCATTTTGTATGATCTTTTTTGGCGCTAAGGGTATATAGCATAGGAGATGGAGCAGGTAAGCAGTTTTCTTTTATTTTTGCAAGCTTTGTATTTCACTAGCATTAAAGGCTGACAGCAGACGGCATGGTGGGATCTGAAGTGGTACAAGGGCACTAATCCAATGGAAGTTTAGAAATAAAATCTGTGATGCTTTTTCAGCCACCTTCTTCTTAGTGCCCAGAAAATATCCAAAGTGCTTCTGCTGATCTTCACAGGTAGCAACAAGAGTTTGTGTGAGATTGTTCTGCACTTTGTCACCCAAATCTCTACACTTCTGACTTGCTTCCAGATTTGGGAGGCTGAAGTGAGAGTCTGACCCCACTGGGTCATCGGGAATTTTGCCTTGGGCTAGGGTGAAGATTTGCCTTTTCCCAAGGCCAAGTTTTCACTTGTTCTGCACAAACTTTAAATAAAAGCATCACTTTTCCAGTCCTATGCAGAAATCACACTCGGAAACTATTAGCAATATTAATGACTGAGGATGTGATCCTGGGAGCTACTCATTGACTCTTGCTCCCAGGGAAATCAAGGAGTGACTTTGCACTTGGTCCAGGTTGAGAGTGATCCTGTCAAAGAAGGTTTCTGAGAAGCACAAGCTGCTTTCATGAGCACTTCTTGGCGCTAAATGGAGTGTGGGTCTGGGGGAGGAGGAGCTGGTTGGAAGATGAATGGATTTTTCTTTTCTAAATGGATAGTAGCAAAGAGTGGATGTCTGCATCAGCAGATACAATGAGCGCACAGTCTTTTAGCATGTGTTCCCCCAGGCTCTCTCATGGAATATAGTGTGTACCCAAAGCTATGGGATATACATTGTTTCCTAAGGCATCCTAAAAGGGGACATTCACCCAGTTCCAGACATTCCCAGCTATAAGCATGGGTGTTTTGTGAGTGTCCACCATGCCCAAGGATGTCCATGATTACGCTTTTGAAAAGCTCAAGCACAGGAATTCACTTGCAATGTGCGGTTTGGAGCCACGCGTGCCTCCTTCTCCTGGAGACGCTGGCTTTGCTTCCGACAGAATAGCAGCAACGCATGACATTCTCCAGCTCCAACACAATTACTTCTCTTTAACAAGCTTTTCTAAAGTACTTCACCAGAGAAAATTAATGCTTCAGAAAATTCTTATAGACAACTTTAGCAGTTTAAAAAAGAAACCGTTTTACAACATTAACTATAGTAGATGTTATTTGTGCTTGATCTAATATATGGATATAGCGTTTCATTAACTGAAGTAGTGCAAAAGGGCTTTGTAATTTTTAGCTCTTGTGTCGAGTGTGCCTTGTATGGCTCCCCAATGCAGTGCTTCAGGAGGCAATGGCACTTTAGCTTGGAATTTCCACACACACCCCTGCTCGGTTTTTAAGATGCCAAGGTTGTGATGGAGCAGTGGAAGCACAGATGCATCCTTCTGCCCTTCAGGTATATAGGAAAGAGACATCACGTCTTTAAAGAAAAAAACAGGTAATTTGGCCCCCTGTTTAGTGACAAGCCATACGACTTGGCTAGCAAGTCTGAGGAAAAGACAGTAACTCTTTTTATTTCAAGGGCCAGTAACTGGAGGAAATGCTTTAAGCAAAATAATAATTCAAATATCTGCTGCAAGTGGAGGCACTCAGCATGTCCACTGATGTACTGTTTTCTACTTTCACCATTAGAAAAAAGCATCCTATCCCCAATCTGCATTTTGTCATTCCATTTTGCAGCCATTTGCTCATGTAATTTTTCCAAAACAAGGAGCGTCCGTATTGGATCATACAAACGAGCGATGCCCATCTGTGCAGTATGAAACACGAGCTTGTCCTCTCCTGGCACCTGCAGGGTCCCCGACAGGGTAGGGAAGGAGCCAGCCTGCGCTGGGAATTCTAATCCAGTTTATGCAGACCTCCCTCTCTTTTCTGTTATTCAGATCTTTCACATTATTCACCGTCGCAGCCACGCAGTGCAGTGGGGGCACACATAACCCAAAGGTTTCGGCACTGGGCTCGTTGTCCGCTGCTGGGGACAGCCTTTTCCAGTGATGAGGTTGTAGGAACAGTTGTAGCCTTTCCGCTTGTGGTATGTGCCGTGAGGCAGGCGCTCCAAGGGCAACACGGTCTCTACGTCTGGCTTTTGGTAGCACACAGGGGTTTCAGATCAGATTGGGCATATTATACAAATCTTTTTACTATGGAATTTGACAGATTTTTTTCACGGTGGGTGTTTTTGCAAGAAATGCCCTCAAAATGCAGTCTCAGCACGTGACAGCCAAGCAGTCGGTATACTCCCTTTCTTATAGCAACCTGTAAGGCGCTTTACATGCAATTCAGGTTACTCATAAATTATTCTCTTTGCGAATCAGGCACCTATAAATTATTCCCTGTAATTGAAAATTACCTATGAATTATTCTTTTTGTAATTCACAGTCATGTCATTTATTCTCATATTATATTGACACTGCTTTCTTGGATAGATATGCCTGGCACTGACAGTAACAGTGTAATCCTCAAAAGCCACGGCAATATCATACGGTGGGAGTACATTCAGGATATTCTGACAAGACAGAAATGATCTTGTGTGCAGAAAATCTGTGTTGTATAGGTCCAGAGAGGGGCACGCAGTAAATAATGGATTTATTTGGCGTTTTATGGAATTTGGCCCTAACATTGTACGGATTATATTTTTATACACTTTTTTAAAAAAACTTTATTTTTTTTAAAGCTGGTCAAAGCTGTTCATTTTATAAGTCAACTTATAAGTCATTTCTAACTCTGTCTTATCTATGCTGCAGGCCGCAGATGCACAGAAGGAGATGCGTTGTTTCCTTCCCCTCTCAGCTTTTGCCCAGCATTTAGAGGCAAACTCACTTAACTGGGCTCTTTGGATGTCAGAGGGACATTAGCAGAGTCTCTTAAAACTGATTAATTGTTTAAGCTAGGTGCTGTACTGTAAACAAGCAGTGATAGTGCAGAAAATTCACAGCCAGTCAACAGAAATGAAAAGCCCAGAGCAAACATAACAAGCATTAACTAATTATCAACACATGCCCTAAGTTGCTTAATAGCTCTTTTCCTGAGATTTGCAGTTGGTGTCTGCTACTGCTGCTCTAGGAGCAGTCTCTCTTCCCCAGTATCACACAGATGACAGCCTGAAAGCAATTTTCTCGATTTATTTGTTGACATGTATAGAAAGAGATTTTTCTTGACAGAAAGGCAGAACTCTCAGTGGGTAAGAAAGTCCAGTGCAATGGGACAGAGAGAGGACACCGAGGCATGAGAGCATTTAACCCCAGTCCAAATAAAATTCTCACTAGTCCAGCTCCTTCCTCAAGGGCCTAAGCACAG